CAGTTTGGATTACATCTCAATACAAAGAAAATGAAAGTCCAATAAACAGCTTCACAATGGATAGATAAAAGATTGAAGTTGTCAGGGATTTCATATTACTTGGTTCTACAATCAACACCAATGGAAGCAGCAGTCTAGAAATCAGATGACGTGTGCATTGGGCAAATCTGCTGCAAAAAACTTCTTTCAAGTGATGAAGAGCAAAGAGGTCTCCTTGAAGACTAAGATGTGCCTAACCCCAAACCAAAACCAAACCCAAGCCAAGGTATTTTCAGTCGCTTCTTATGCATGTGAAAACTGGGCAATGAATAAGGAAGACCGAAGAAGAGTTGATGTTTTTGAGTTGTGGTGTTGGAAAAGAATGCTGAAAGTATCAGGACAAACAGATCTGTCCTGGAAGAAGTGCAGCCAGAATGCACCTTGGAAGTGAGAATGGCCAAATTTCTTCTCACCTACTTTGGTCAAATTGTTAGGAGGAACCATTCCCTGGAGAAGGACATCATGCTTGGTAAAGTGGAGGGTCAACAAAGAAGGGTAAGGCCCTCAACAAGATGGATTGACACAGTGACTTCAACAGTGGGCTCAGGTATAGCAAGGATCGTGAGGCTGGCACAGGATCAGGCAGTGTTTCGTTCTGCTGTGCATACGGTCGCTATGAGTTGGAGACTACTTGATGGCACCTAACAACAACAACAACTCCAAATTTTGATAAATAAGAGAAAAAGGGGGAAAAACCCTTGACTGAAAGACTCCAATGGAGAAATTACAGATTTGGGTCTCAGGTCCCTTACATACTCTCCATGTTTGTTTTTGTTTGTTTGGTTGGTTGGTTGGTTGGTTGGTTTGGTTTGGGTAAAGGGATTGCAAAATTTACAGAGTCAATCATAAGACTGAGTATTGTGATTCTCTGAATCAGAGGGCTGTAAACTTCTTCTATCAAGGGACAGAGAGTAAATATTATTGGCTTTTCTGACCAGATGGTTTCTGTCACAACTACTTAATTCTTTCTTTGCGGCAACAAAGCAGACAAAGACAAAAGTATTTTGAAAAAAAAAAAATGATATGAGTGTGTTCCAAAAAATTTTCTTTCATGAAAATAGGCAGGTGGTCAAGATTTGGACCTCAGGCTTTGGTTTACTGACCCCCTGCTCTAAACACTCAACATGTTTCCTAGGTGATATTGTCACCTGAGAATAGGCCCAGAATAAATGCTTAGATCTCATTCCCCTCTTCCTAACTTTCCACTCTCTCCTCCTTCTTTTCTGTTGCTTTGTCTCTCTACCTCAGCCATGAGTTGGGAATTCTCAGGCAACCCTTTCTCAGAAGCCCTGACTAGATCTATGGGAAGAAAGTAGAATTGAATGAAGCACAATCACAAAATGGTTATTAGGAACGTATTATGATTAAGAAAGGAAATACTTAGGGTGATTGCTTAACCCAGATGTATTCCTGATAATAGTAAGATTCACCATAGCGGAGATATTTGGAGGACCTCAAGCATACCAGATGAAAAACAGGCTAATGGGTACCACCTGACTCACATATTGGTCACTTTTCTTAAGATCCTTTTATTCATAAACATTGAGGGCTCAACTCCTAAACAAATTACACAAGAGTCTAGTAGGTGCATAGCTTTCTTACATGTCCTGGCTAGCAGTATTACTGGGAAGACACGTCATTTGGGAAAAAAAGAAGGAAAATTGCAGAATTTCCTCTAACCCATCTTTTACAATCAAAATAAAAGTGGGAAACTTTCTTCTAAAATTTAGAACTTAATTATGCATCAAGAGTCATCACAGCCTATGCAAAAATTATAACACAAGTATGAGTCCACAAAGTAGACACAAAGGTGAGCAAAGAAAGTTTAGCTGACGATTACATATCAGTGACTACTGTAGGCAAATGTATCAGTCAGCAGGGGGCCCACAGGAAACAAATAGCACACTCAAACTGTGTAATTTTAGGAGACCTTAATATAGAGACAATTTGCCAAGGGTTTAAGTAGGTAAATCAATAATAATCTTATAATTTATTGTTCAAAGTGTATTTGTCAGTATAACGTGAAGTTTTATTAAGAAATTATGCAAGGACAATGAGTATAAACTGCGTCTGGCTCAGCCAAACTACAGTTTGGCATAGTACAGGACCCAAGACTAGCAAGAATAAGGAGCTATTATCACTACTAGATGTAAATGGGAAATGAGAGGGAACAGTTTCTGGAACATGAAAGTTAGTAAGAAGGAAAGGCCAACTAACAGGAGCTGGAGCCCTCAATATAGGAAAATATCCAATCAATCTGCAGCAAGCCAACAGGGAGAAAGAGCATGAACTAAAATCCCATCTCAACTGTCCTCTCACCTTCTGAACTCTTGCCAATAACTCCCATAGGTTGAACCCAATATATCCCATTGCCTGAACTGGATGTAGCCCTTGTGGTTCAGCTTCCCCAGGTACAAAGTAAGATGGGGAAGGGCAGAAAGTATATCTGGAGGGGAAAATAGAAGAAATCCAGCATCATAAAAACCCTTGCAAAAAAAAAGTACCAGAAATTGGAACTATGCTTCAGTTCTACCTCTACTACAACTTTTTTCAAGTATCCAAAGAAATCTGAACTCCTAGATTCTTCTTTAACAATTTACTTCCTACTTTTTTCTATTAGATTGTAGAAAAACAGTATGGTAAGTAAGATTTTCTTTTACCTCCAATTGGGTGAAGGTGAAGATATATTTTTTCTAAATATATCTTTAGAGAGGAATAAGTGTAAGCACTAGGTTTCCATGCATATATTTAGCTTCTTTCGCTTTCTAGTTCAAAAAGATCTGTCAACATTTGCCAGTCATAGGCTGCTTATGATGGTATCACCAGCCTGAGAATAAAATAAAAGGAAAGAGATGGGTTTTTGGTTAAAAAAAAAAAAAAAAATTGTCATAGGAAACTCCCTCACTCCACCTTCAGGTCCACAAATGTCTTCAAAGGATCTTAGAGGAATTGTGCAATGCAAAAGAAATGGACAAAATGGACATATGCTAGAGTCATCACAACCACTTCACATTCAATAAATACATTGTTCAGCTACGAACAATGAAGGAAAGAATAACAACCAGAAAGAACAATTCATTGCTGTAAAATGTGGCTTTCCTTTCTGCAAAGAGGTGGAGTGATGATGGAATTACAGGACCCTAGAGGATCTAGAGAAATCCACTTTCAGGCCTAAAAGTGTACCTTTTTGCTAGGAGAAAGTCCATTGTTACACTTCCTAAAATATTACCAAGCTGAGTTTTGTTTCATTAACTTTTTTACTCTACAGAGTGACATCTCTGATATTCCATCCCTAATCAATCTGATACCCTTCCAGTTTTTAAATCCAATAATTCTATCAGTTAATCATATGAAAAATAGGAATAATTTTTCGTGGAAATCTGAACCTAATCCTTTAAACCCAAACAGAATTTTTAATGAGAACAAAGCTACTTTAAATATTTAGGCAGTTTAAAGAAGAGGAGGGAAGAATTAATTTAAAACAGAGTGTAAAAGTATGGGTGTGGAACCAGGGGATTTTCTTATTAAACAAGAATTAAAAAAGATTAAGGAAATAAATGATTGTGAGATCTTTCTAGTGAGGGTAGGAAAAGAGAAAGATATTTTGTGGATCATTTCCTAGCCCGTCTGATGTGTGAGAGTATTACCTAAGCTCCTTGAGTAATCAGAGTACTACAAATGATCTCACTTCTATTTTCTATGATATGGAAGACACACCATTCTTGGATTAACTTAGGAGTTTCCAAATTATGCATGTAGATACTGTTCACACTTTTGCATTTAAACATATGAAAAGACAGAAAAACAAGAAGCTCTTCAGCCCACCAGCAATTTTCATAATGAGGCTCTAACCTGAATGGTTGTATGGTTGTATGGTTGTATGGTTGCCGCTGGTGAGACTTACATGGATCCTAGGAGGATGGCACCAAAGAGCTAGACATAGAGAGTTTTATATGAAGGTCTTTCAATAGGAGATAATCTGTTGCCTAACAGTTATTTTCATAGGAAGTTAGTATGCTTCAATCTACTTAGAATTTCTTGAGTACTGTATCTACTTTTCATAGTAGACAAGAGTGGGTCCTGGAGTGGTTATGAAGATTCCCACAAGCCTAGGAAAAAATGAGCTTGTCACTTTCATCACTAAATTGTGACTGACCCAAGCAATGGTGCTTTCAATCACTTCATATGCATGTGAAAACTGGACAATGAACAGGGAAGACCAAAGAACCAATGCCTTTGGATTATAAGATGTAGAGCCCATCATCTTCTCCCCTTTACCATGGCTGTTTAGAAGCTCGGGACTAATTTTTTGAGCTCAAATTTCTTAATTTTCTAGTTCTTCATAGTGTTCTCATCTGACCTTTTCTTCCCCTAATCCTCACCTCCTCTATCACCTTTCTACTATCTTAATCTTGACTTTCTTTTTTTTTTTTAACTTTACCCCACCAATGCTTTTATTGCATCACTTTAAATGCTTTTGGAAAAGAAATAGATATTTAGCTAATAAATTTTGATACAATATTTCCTCCTTTCAAAGAATATACTATCAAATTAAAAAAAAGTCAAAAATATTATTGAAATATTCTATAATCTATGGAGGCCATAAAGGTCCCAGGGACCTGGGTGGTGCAAACTCTTTGTACTTGACTATTAACATAAGGGTTGGTCATTCAAACTTACCCAGTGGCTCAGTGAAAGAAAGGCCTATCTGTTTCCGTAAAGATCACAGCCCAGAAAACTTTATGGAGTAGTTTTACTCTGTAACACACAAGACTGCCATGAGTCAAAATCTACTGGAGGACAGCAATGGGTATTGTTTTGTTTATTGAGGTCTTAACAGGGAAGCCCAGAGGGTGCAAAAAAAAAGGCTTAAATGAAGGAGAGATCACATTCAGATAGGAGACCATTTTTTTGAGGAGCTGTCAAGTGAGACAAGCATTGAATGGCACAAAAATGTCAATATGTGGGGGCATGATGTTGGGAAGAAAGCAGCTCAGGGCATGTTTAAATATAATAAGTTGCAAAAACAATATAAAATAAAGGATATTAAGTCCAGGTACTGTTTGGGAGAAGCCATGGAGAATGGAGGATGTAAGGCTAGAAACACAGCTTGGGACAAAGTTGTTTGGTGTGGGATTGTGAATATCAAGGCAAGTTGGGGCATACAGAAGGTTTTTGAGTAGAAAAGTAATAGGATTGAATTGTTCTTAAAAGAAAAAAAAAAAAAAAACCAAACTCACTGACATCAAGTGGATTCTGACTCAGTGACCCCCTTTGGGTTTCCAAGGTGGTAATTCTTTACAGAAGTAGATTGCCCATTCTTCCTTCTGTGGAGCAGCTGGTAGGTTTGAACCACCAACCTTCTGTTTAGCAGTCAGATAGATGCCTTGGCACTACACCACCAGAGCTCTTGTAGAATTTCTCTAAGAGGTTACACCATTAGAGATGAAGGAATTGGGGGCCAGAAGGAGCAAGTGATTAGCAGGCAAAGAGAAATCTTTGAGGATGCCTAAGGACCAGCCATTCTGATTGCTTCATATTTATGAAACCAGTATAGATCACAGACACTCAAAACTTTTAAAGAAAAATAACAAAGGAGAAGCTGGTTTATAAGTCCTCAGAATGTAAATCCAAACCTCAATGCTAGCCTACTTTCTGCTGCCCCTGTTCCATCATCAGGCTAGAAATGTAGCTGGTAGTTCTAATGGTGACTGCAGGTCTGGCACTGCTACAGGCTTGTAAGTATGGAGAAGGTATGTAAGGTAAAAGCACCAGGAGCAGCCACCATGCCCTTTCTCTGTCCCCAGGAGATATGTGAACTTGGTGAGGAAGTCTGGGTCTCCAGCTCTGGTGGTGCAGTGCCTAAAGCATTTGACTGCTAACTAGAAGGTTGGCGAGTCAAACCCACCAGCCACTCCACAGAAGGAAGACTGAGCAATCTACTTCTGTAAAGATTTGCCACCTTGGAAACCCAATAGGACTCTGTCTGAGTCAGAATCCACTGGATGGCAGTGAGTTTGGTTTAGCTCCTATCTGCCTAGCTTATGTCCAGCTGTTGGTCAGAATCACCTCTGATGTCAAAGCTGATGATTCAGACTCCAGCATCATCCTGCAGCACCCTGAGAAGAAGGGGGGGGGGTACTTCTTTTCCAAAGCATGCTTCCATGACTGATGCCTGGGAGTCAGTAGGTTCCAGAAAAGCTTCTCTTAGAAGCCAGCGGTGAATCAGTGGCTTTCTGCCACTATTATCTCCACAACCTTTTTTTTCCCCATTCCCAACATCAGTTTGCTGGGTCCAGCTGTACTTGTGTAGATGTTGAACGCCTTCTATGAAAAAAAAAAAAAGAAGGAAAAAAAAAATCATCCCTGGGTCGAGGTTTTTCCCCCCCGAGTCTGTGCCTTTTCCACTTCCTTCGTCAGCATCTGGTCTTGTTCCCAGGCTCCATTTGACATTTGCCAAATTCACATGGGGCGCCCTGCCTTGGCGGCTCCAGGCGATGACTCCTTAGGAACTTCCCAAGGACCAGGGAGCTGCAGGCTCAGACAAGCTGAGGGGGAGAGTCAGCGAGAGAACGGGAGAGAAGGTGGGGGAAACTGGGTGTCAGGGAGAGAAGGGGTGGGGGGCTGTGACACAGGCCAAACTGAGGCTGAACAAGGTTCATTCCTTAGCAGCCTCTCCTCATTTCAAAGCTCCGTTGGCTCTGCTATAGCCTAGAAGGCGACTGTGACACTGTCTCCGACTCTCCTCTCCCTGCCTCATTTGGTTGCTCTTAAAATCGCTTTCGTGGATTAATGAGTTTGCAAGTACAAATCCGAGCTGGCTGCCTGGCTGCTTCTCCTGTCCCTAAAATAGGTACTGGTGCTAAGACTCTAGGCGATCAAAGTCATGTAGGCTGCGCAGCGCCAAGCGCCTGGACACAAGGCACGCGGAACCCTACACCTCCTCCCCGCCAGCTGAGCGCTGGACAGCACCTTCACTGTTCCCTTACTGACGCTCAGCGCGGGGCGCTGTGTGGCAGCCCTTCAAGAGTCTATCCTCAGTCTTGTTGTTGTTGTTGTTGTTGTTGTTATGTGCCCTCGAGTCTGAACTGACTCATAGTGACCCCTCCTTTGGTTTCTGAGGCAGTATCACTATGGAAGTAGATTGCCTCATCTTCCTTCTGAGGAGTGGCTGGTGGGTTTGAACCACCAGCCTTCTGGTTAGCAGTCAAGTGCCTTAGGCACTATGCTACCAGAGCTCCCATCCTCACTCTTAGGCTGTTCTCAAAGATGGGTCTGTGAAGGGAGCTAGGCTCTGAATTTTGTGCTTTAAAAAGTTCTTGACACATACAGAAAGTTCTTGACAAAGATACTTACAGGGAGGCCCCTAAACCATCACCAGCCCTTCTTTATTGAAATAGAAAAGGGCGCTTTGGAAAGTAGTTCTTTGAGGGCTAAGCCCATCTGACCTTTCTTCAATCATTTTAGCTTCTTACCTTCCCTGCCTCTAAGGTTCTGGTCACTATTACACATTTAATGCCTTCACATAGAAGTGCCACCGAACCCTATGGTTGCATCTATCGCCAAAGCATGGAGATAAATAAGCACACAGGTTTCTCAGTAATGAGGAAGGAAGGAAAGCACTAATTAAAGGTGGCTAAAGAAGTGCTTAGGAGCTCTGGTGGTGTAGTGCCTAAGGCACTTAACTGCTAACCAGAAGGCTGTGGTTCAAACCCACCAGCCACTCCTGGGAAGGAAGTTGGACAATCAACTTCCATAGTGATACTGCCTTGGAAATCCAAGGAAGGATCACTATGAGTTGTTGAGTTTTTAAAGAAGTGCTCAGAGGTGTACAGGACACACAGGTAAAGGTGTCAAATTCTTAGAAGGGTTACTGGTTTCAAAAGGTTTCTTTCCCAACCAGAAAAGGGCCATCTTAGAAATTACCCTGTAGGAGAAAGAAGCATCTTAGGATCTATTTGCTAACCCTTTCAAGACAGAATTACTTTCTGTTTTGACTCTTCAGTTGAAACCATGTGTGACAGAAGGCATTTTGAATGAAATGGGGGAAAATGAAAACTTTTTTTGAGGAATGGATTTTAATACAATTAGTGGGACATATGTGCCTCTGGTGTTGGGTTTGATGGACTTAAGCTGGTTCTTCAGATTTACACAATTCCACAGGCTCCCAACAGATGGCAACATGCACTATTAGTGGGATACAGGCTTCCCACTAAACCCCAGAGGTGGAAAATGTAAGTGGGTACTGTATATTCCATAAGTCACAAAAGGGTTAAAGCATATTTAGGTACATATGAAGGGTTAGGGCAAAGATAAAAAAAAAAAAAAATACTCCTAGTGGAGCAGTGGTTAAGCTTTGGCTTCTAACCCAAAGGTCAACAGTTTGAATGCAGTAGCCACTCCAGGGGTGGAAGTCTGCTCCAGTAATGAATTTCAGTCTTGGAAATCCTTTGGGGATAGTTCTACTCTGTCTTAAAGGGTTGCTACAGGGTCACTATGGTTTAGAATTGGCTCAACATTAGTGGATTTCGTTTAGGGCAAAGATAGAAGAAGAAAGGTGAGGGAAATTCCTGAATATTTTACTAATGTTAAAATTCCATAGATTTGGCTTGGTCCTTTTTTTTTTTTTTTTTTTTCCTTTTAGGTCATCAATTCTGGATTTTTTAATGGAAGAGAATGACATCAAAGAAATTCATTGGCCTAGAAGAAAAAAGCCCGTAGGCGTTTAGGTAGTACATATATGGAGCCAGAAAGCTCTGGTGCATCAGGGAGACTCCAACTTAAGGCAACAGCATGGGTGAATATGGGCCTATTGTGGACTGGGAATTAGAGGCTAGGAATGTTGCTTGAGCAATTGCCCCCACTCAGGCCTTCCACATCTAGAGGCAAACCAGTCTTGATGGAGAGAGTTTAGTGTGAAACTGGGGTGGAATTAGGTTTCCAAGTACCTTGCCTAATACCTTTTCATTTGTTCTATCATCAGGTTTTTTCAGGAAGATCTTCATTTTGCAACTGGTAGAGTTAGTGCTGACCTACGACTTCACTGGATGTGACTTTAGAAACTTCACACAGGAATATGATGAAGTTATCTATAAAGAGCTGCAAAGACTTTGGCTTGAGGTAAGTACAGAATTTAAAAAAAAAAAAATATATA